GTCGATCTAAACCGAAAAATGGCCCGAAATTTTCTAAATTTGACTTTGGTTTAAAAGGCAGCACTTGCCTTGCGATAGTAACTTCTAGTTTATAGTTGAGTCGATGCACGAAGGCGGCGAACGGCTAAGCGTAGTAGAAAGTATATTAAAACACGGCTAAGCATTATTTATTTATAAATGCGCATTAAAATTCCCTGTGCCAAAACTTTCTGCATCAATATCCGTTTTGAACCTTTCTCTGTCGGTCTATAATAATTTTTTTTTCATTTTGCCCGAAATGAGATTCACCTCATGAGATGAGCAGGTCACAACAATGTACTTGTGTTTTTAATTTTACCAGTATTACAAGTCGTCCACTGATGGCTTAGTGGTATGTCGTTTAGCCTGTCTCGATAAGCATTTGGGTTCAAATCCAGTTGAACTCATGTTTTGTAGCAGACTCACAATATTTTTTTCCCTTTATTTATTCTGACTATTTTTTATTCTTTTCATACCTCTATGTGCAAAATCCGTTTACAAGTATAAGAAAATATTGCCATGTTGAAACTGGCTCGAAAAGATTAAGTTAATCATTCCATATTGTCTAATTTCGCAAGGATTTAACGCGGCACTTGCCGTGCGATAGTAACTTCTTGTTTTAGTTGACACTATCACGAAGCCGGCGAACGGCTAAGCGTGGTAGAAAGTATATTAAAACCCGGCTAAGCACGGCTAAGCATTTTTTATATGAAAATGCGCATTAAAATTCCCCTGTACCAAAACGTTTTGCATCAATATGCGTGTTGAACATTTCTAAGTCGATCTAAACCGAAAAATGGCCCGAAATTTTCTAAGTTTGACTTTGGTTTAAAACCGCAGCACTTGCCTTGCGAAAGTAACTTCTAGTTTTTAGTCGAGTCGATGCACGAAGACGGCGAACGGCTAAGCTAGTAGAAAGTATATTAAAACACGGCTAAGGACGGCTAAGCATTTTTTATATCAAAATACGCATTAAAATTGCCCTGTACCAAAACTTTTTGCATCAATAAGTGTTTTGAACATTTCTAAGTCGATCTAAACCGAAAAATGGCCCGAAATTTATTAAATTTGATTTTAGTATAAAAGGCAGCACTTGCCTTGCGATAGTAACTTCTAGTTTATAGTTGAGTCGATGCACGAAGGCGGCGAACGGCTAAGCTAGTAGAAAGTATATTAAAACACGGCTAAGGACGGCTAAGCATTTTTTATATCAAAATACGCATTAAAATTGCCCTGTACCAAAACTTTTTGCATCAATAAGTGTTTTGAACATTTCTAAGTCGATCTAAACCGAAAAATGGCCCGAAATTTTCTAATTTTGACTTTCGTTTCAAAGGCAGCACTTGCCTTGCGATGGTAACTTCTAGTTTTAATTGACACGATCCACGTCGATCCACGAAGCCGGCGAACGGCCAAGCGTAGTAGAAATTATATTAAAACACGGCTAAGCATTATTTATTTATAAATGTGCATTAAAATTCCTCTGTGCCAAAACTTTCTGCATCAATATCCGTTTTGAACCTTTCTCTGTCGGTCTTTAACAATTTTTTTTCTCATTTTGCCCGAAATGAGATTCACCTTATGAGATGAGCAGGTCACAACAATGTACTTGTGCTTTTAATTTTACCACAATTACAAGTTGTCCACTGATGGCTTAGTGGTATGTCGTTTAGCCTGTCTCGATAAGCATTTGAGTTCAAATCCAGTTGAACTCATATTTTGTAGCAGACTCACAATATTTTTTTTCCTTTATTTATTCTGACTATTTTATATTCTTTTTATACCTCTATGTGCAAAATTCGTTTACAAGTATAAGAAAATATTGCCATGTAGAAACTGGCTCGAAAAGATTAAGTTAATCATTCCATATTGTCTAATTTCACAAGGATTTAACGCGGCACTTGCCGTGCGATAGTATCTTCTAGTTTTAGTTGACTCTATCACGAAGCCGGCGAACGGCTAAGCGTAGTAGAAATTATATTAAAACACGGCTAAGCAATTTTTATATCAAAATGAGCATTAAAATTCCCCTCTACCAAAACGTTTTGCATCAATATGCGTTTTGAACATTTCTAAGTCGATCTAAACCGAAAACTGGCCCGAAATTTTCTAAGTTTGACTTTGGTTTAGAACCGCAGCACTTGCCTTGCGATAGTAACTTCTAGTTCGTAGTTGAGTCGATGCACGAAGCCGGCGAACGGCTAAGCTAGTAGAAAGTATATTAAAACACGGCTAAGGACGGCTAAGCATTTTTTATATCAAAATACCCATTAAAATTGCCCTGTACCAAAACTTTTTGCATCAATAAATGTTTTGAACATTTCTAAGTCGATCTAAACCGAAAAATGGCCCGAAATTTTCTAATTTTGACTTTCGTTTCAAAGGCAGCACTTGCCTTGCGATGGTAACTTCTAATTTTAATTGACACGATCCACGTCGATCCACGAAGCCGGCGAACGGCCAAGCGTAGTAGAAAGTATATTTAAACACGGCTAAGCATTATTTATTTATAAATGCGCATTAAAATTCCTCTGTGCCAAAACTTTCTGCATCAATATCCGTTTTGAACCTTTCTCTGTCGGTCTATAACATTTTTTTTTCTCATTTTGCCCGAAATGAGATTCACCTCATGAGATGAGCAGGTCACAACAATGTATTTGCGCTTTTAATTTTACCACAATTACAAGTTGTCCACTGATGGCTTAGTGGTATGTCGTTTAGCCTGTCTCGATAAGCATTTGAGTTCAAATCCAGTTGAACTCATATTTTGTAGCAGACTCACAATATTTTTTTTCCCTTTATTTATTCTGACTATTTTATATTCTTTTTATACCTCTATGTGCAAAATCCGTTTACAAGTATAAGAAAATATTGCCATGTTGAAACTGGCTCGAAAAGATTAAGTTAATCATTCCGTATTGTCTAATTTTACAAGGATTTAACGCGGCACTTGCCGTGCGATAGTATCTTCTAGTTTTAGTTGACTCTATCACGAAGCCAGCCAACGGCTAAGCTTATCTTCATCAACTGTCTAGAGATACATGAGAAAGGCATCGGTAGAAAGCCTATGTATCGTAGATTCCAAAAATACAATTTTCAGACCGTGACAAATTCCATTTTCTGCTGCAGAGGCCTTGAAATTCAATAGAATGCAAGGTTCAAAACAGCATAATATTAACTTTCATGTCTTTTTCGATTATGCACCTGGAATAACATGGTTTGTATCTTTATGGACTGTTTTTTGATGCACGAGTAAGGCATCGACAGAAAGCATATGGACCGTAGATTGTAGAAATACAATTTTCAGACAGGCGTAAATTCACGTTTCCGCTACAGGGACCTTGAAATTCAATAGAACATCAGATTCGAAACAGCCAAACCCTAACCCTCATTTATGTAATATTAACTTTCACGTCTTTTTCGATTACACTGCTGGAAAGAAACTGCTTTTTATCTCCACATCAAGCCTAGTGATGCACGAATGAGGCATCGACAGAAAGCTTATGGATTGTAGATTCCAGAAATACAACTGTCAGGCTGGACCAAATTCAAGTCTCTGCTACAAGGGCCTTGAAATAAAATAGAACATCAGGTTCGATACCGCATAATATTAACTTTCACGTCTTTTTCGATTACACAGCTGGGAAAAACTGCTTTTTATCTCCACATCCGTCCTAGTGATGAACTAATGAGACATCGACAGAAATATTATGGATAGTAGATTCTAGGAATACAACTTTGAGGTTGGCCCAAATTCACGTTCCTGGTACAAGGGCCTTGAAATTCGATAGAACATCACGTTCGAAACCGCATAATATTAACTTTCACGTCTTTTTCGATTACGCAACTGGAATAACCTGCTTGTTATCTTCATCAACTGTCTAGAGATACATAAGAAAGGCATCGGTAGAAAGCCTATGTATCGTAGATTCCAAAAATACAATTTTCAGACCGTGACAAATTCCATTTTCTGCTGCGGAGGCCTTGAAATTCAATAGAATGCAAGGTTCAAAACAGCATAATATTAACTTTCACGTCTTTTTCGATTATGCACCTGGAATAACCTGGTTTGTATCTTCATGGACTGTTTTTTGATGCACGAGTAAGGCATCGACAGAAAGCATATGGACCGTAGATTGTAGAAATACAATTTTCAGACAGCGTAAATTTACGTTTCCGCCACAGGGACCTTGAAATTCAATAGAACATCAAATTCGAAACAGCCAAACCCTAACCCTCACTTATGTAATATTAACTTTCACGTCTTTTTCGATTACACTGCTGGAAAAAAAACTACTTTTTATCTCCAAGTCAAGCCTAGTGATGCACGAATGAGGCATCGACAGAAAGCTTATGGATT